AAATGAGGCAGAGGTACAGGCACCTGTGCTTGCAGAGGAACATGATGATGGCACCAAAGCATATGCTACATGCTGTTGTCATAGGAATGAGGGTGACCACAGTCCTGTCATTGAGTCCATGATACCCACACGCCAGGTATCAGTGGCCCATGTTCAGTGGGAATAGGAGAGACATGAAGTAAAGAGTCATCTCTATCCAGACACAGTTTCCATTTAGGAGGACATGTGACACTATGGAAAGAGCTCAAGATCAAAAACCAAGCAGTGCCCTACTCTCAGATGTATGCCCTTAGGCCTGGATCCCCTCTGTCCTCAACTTATTAACTGTATGACAGGTGGCAAGTCATTTAACCCCTGAAATGCTCAGTGTTTTCATTTGTCAAATGGGGCCGGTGATACTCAACTCTCAAGTTCGCTGTAAAGGACAGAACAAGATGGCTTAGGTAAAGGAGCTAGCATGGAGACGCAGTTCAGTTACAGGTGGATTACCTGATGATGACTAATTCTCCCTGAGTGGGTTCCATGCTTAGCACTCTATGCCAGGCATTTTCTAGGAAATGTACATATTCATGTTATTGAAATTTCATAACCACTCTATGAGATCAATGTTAGTATAACCCTCATTGTATGAATAAGGAAGTGGAGGCACAGAGAGATGAAGAAGCTTGTTCAAGGTCATTTTGTTGCAAAGTGAAAAAGCGTGACCTTGAACCTAGGCCATCAGTCCCGTAGGCTTTACTTTAATATTTTGCTGAGAAGGAAACTGATTGATGCTGAGCCTCCTGACCTTGACTCATCACTCCTCCTTGAGGAAGACTCTATTAAGTCAAATAGAGTTGGGGCCCAAAATCACCCGACTGATGAGCAGCTGCCAAACCTGACACACAGCGGGCTGAAAATACTCTGATAGTGAACCCTGGTTCTTTTGAAAAAGTCAGCCCCTAACCTCATTAACTCTCTAAGCTTGAAATCCTATATGTGAAATCCTGTTGGACTGAGAGATGCCAACAGGTGGTTGTGCTAACGGCCATTTATGCTGCCATCCTTCTGTCGGTGGAGACAAAACTGGAACCACCTCCCATATAAAAACACCGAGGAGTTCCAGCAAGGGTGTCACAAAGGCACAAGATGCTGCTACATTGCTGAATGCTTTTAAACAGTCTTGTCTATTTAGAAGTGGATGGCCTCTGAATTATTAATCCACTAAGGCAAATAATTATATCACAGTGTAACCTGCCAGGGGATGTCATCTTGTCATGACAGCTATTGCTGCAGGCTCCTCTGTTACACAGAAAATTGAAGAATCACCAAATTCAATTTCTACTTGGTTAAGCATGTTGGGCCAAATCATGAAACCGAAAGGGTGCATGTTTAATTTAGTTTCTTTTCTCTGCACACTGTATTACTAAGGAAGATCATAGTGCTCTAGGCTCTAACTGTAAAATGCACCATCATCAGTAGAAAAGAGAGTGGGAGACAGGGATCTTTAGAGGCTGAGCAGGGAAGAGAATAAAACATTAGAAGACACCCTGGGAGGCCCCAGCAAGTTGCAAAATCCCACAAGATTTAAGAACAGCTCCTTCCCTCAATCATACTCTATCCAGGTTTCTAAGCTGGGATTTATCCGACTCATGAACCTTCTGAAACACAACACAAAAATAAAAACACATTCCTATATAACATTTATCCAGAGGGAAGGCAGATAATATCCACCAGCTTTTCAAATCCCTGAAAGGTCACATCACATGGAATCTTTTATCTTTAAACTGTGCTGTGAGTAACCCCACTTGGTTTGGCTCTTCTGTGAACCTGGCAAGGTCCCATACTTCCTCTCTGGTCCAACCACCAGTTTCTCTCCTACCCTTGTTTAGCTTCCTTCTCTCCTGAAGCCCGGCCTTGCTTGACCTTTTCCCTATACCAGCGACATTTTTCCATTTACCAAACTGCACCCCACTCATCATTCCAACGTCCATCACAGAAAAATCTTGTCTGCGAAAGAACATCTTTAATTAGATAGAATTGACATTCCAATTCCCTTCAGTTAGCACAAGGGACAACATTCTAAATGGCTCTTTCTCCTCTCTGTCCCCTCTCATCACCCCCTGAAGGTCTCTTCTGAGTCCTGGCGAGCACAGAATTCATTCCCTTGATGCCCTGCAATCTCCATCGCATGGACCCCTGCATCAGTGGGTCCTTAGAAACAAAGTCAACAATGAAACGAAAACTATACAAACACACAGGGTTAGAGCAATCATTAATTATTACAACTGAGTGAGCACTCCCTGCATGTGAATTACCGTCCTGTTTGTTCATTTATCATTTCATTGAACCCTTGCAATCTACCCATTAATTTATTTATTGAGCAAACATTTTTTAGGTCCTCCCTGTTTGCCAGGTGCTGGTGATACAGATAATTTTCTAGGTGCTGGTGATACAGCATTAAGTGAAAATGGAAAAAATTATCTCTCGCTACATGCTTAGATGTAAGTGGGTATAGGTAGACAATCAATAAATCGGTGAGTAAATATTTAGCATGCCAGAAGATGGGAAGTCCTAAGGAGTGATGGAACGTAAAGTCCTGGGTACAGGCCTCGATGAGCAGGCGAACAAGGAGGGGAAGTGAGTGAGGGAGTGCCAGCCCCTGATAGAAGAGACCTCAGGCAGAGGAAGACCCCGAGGTAAGTGTTCTGGGGAAAACAGATCTGTGTGTACAAGGAACATGAGGACAATGTGGCTGGAGTAAAGGTAGCTTCTGTACTATAAACCACTTCTAGTCAGGGAAACTGAGACTTAGAAAGTAAAATAGGTTGAATGGCATTCCTCACCCCCAAAAACATATGTCCACATCCCAAACCCCAGAACCTGTAATGGAGAACTTATTTGAAAAATCGTGTTCTTTGCAGGTGTAACTAAGGATCTTGAGCTAAATCATCCTGGATTATCCTGGTAGACCCCAAATCCAATGACAAGTGTCCTTACAGGGACGGATGAGGAAAAGACATGGGCACAGAGGAGAAAGCCAGACAGAGACTGGACTACTGTAGCCACAAGGTATGCGGACAGCCACCAGGAGCTTCGAGAGGCAGAGAATTCTTCCTGGGCCTCCTGGAGGGAGTGTGGCCCTGCTGACACCTTGATTTCAGTCCTCTAGCCTCCAGAACTGGCAGAAAATAGATTTCTGCTGTTTTAAGCCACCCAGGCGGCGGTGCTCTGTTATGGCAGCCCTGGGGCACTGACCCCGAGTGGGAAAATAAAGTTCCCAAAGTCACAGCGCATTCCATGGGGGTGGGGAGTGGGGGAGGTTTGCAAAGTGGGAGTTGAATCCTGACCACTGGACATCAGGGTGCCCTTAAAGCCACTCCGCTCTCCACTGTCTTTGGTGCACACCAGTGCCTGTACTGGCCGATGACCGTGGGGCACACACTGGGTCCCTTAAGAGCCTCCAGCATTAAGCACCTGGCTTGGACTCCCAGGCTTTGTCTGTCTGCCAATCATTCCTGAAGCATGGGCTGCTGTCTCCCACTGCAAGGATGGTTTTTTTCTGGCTTGCTTTGTTATTTGCACCAAGCAGACAGCATGGGAGTCAGGCTTAACGGGTCACCACAGCATCACTGTGACTGGGCCTGAGGGGGAGGTTTGCGGGGCTCTGATTCCGTGGGAGTCCCGTGTGAGTGCAAACAGGCATACTTTCATATATTACAAGCGCCCTGATTACTTATTGCCCTGCCAATTTTCAATGAGCAGCAAAATTAGGTTTTGGACATCCTGTGCAAATGGAGGCAGGCCTCAGTCAATAGAAGCAATTAACCCCTAAATATTTAATAGATGCTGTGAATGCTCCCTCTCCCTGGGAGAGAGGCCCTGGCTGGTCTTTTGCAAATGTACAAGTCAGATGAAGCAGCAGCAAGATGTGCAGATACCCACACCCCAGACCCCTCTGCTCCAGGACCCCAGGAAACCCTCAGGACAGGGCTCTGTGGTGATGATGCAGCCAAGTGAGTGGCCTTCTGTGACAGCATCCTTCCCATTGTTTACAAAGGACAAGGTCAGTGGGACACATACACAGCCTCTTGAGTCCTGCAGGCACGATAAGAATGGAGCGAGAGACGTGGACTCACAGTGGCTGATGAAACTTGCCGTCGCCCTGTGTGACTGCCAGCAGTGTGGCTGTGAGCCTGAGTGTGTGTGTGTGTGCATGTGAGGAGGTATATGGAAGGGTAAGCGTGCAGGCCTTCCCTACACAGAGAAGCCCCCAGGCTCACAGCTCCATGCCCGCTCTGTCTGACCTCACCCGCCCCCACCTGGCTTCCCCCTGTCCCCCGGGCCCCCGCGTCCCACCGGGGCTGACTATCTAGCACGCACAACAGGCAGTGCCCAGGGCACAAGCGCTTGCTTTCTTTTAAAGTCAAAACAAAAAAGGAAACTTTAGGCTAAGAAGTGTTTTAATACATTTGCCTTTATACCAATGCCCACATAAAATACCTTGTAATATTATTTTATAGGGGAAGGAGCCCACAAAAACCCAGGGTCATGAAAGTCATTGCGCAGACCTGATTCCATCTGGGTCTGTTCCAGTCGGTGTGGGCCTCTCAAACACTGCAGCCCCTTATATCTCAAAGGGCTGGGAACAGGCACACCCAGGCCAAGTGTCCCTCCCACGGCAGACTCCTCATGCGCAATGACATAGGGTCTCTCCTGGAGTCAGGCATGGCCCCCCACCTCTCCAGCCAGACTGCTTTCGTCAGGAAGAATGTGACGCCGCAGGAACACAGAAGCAGCAACCCTGCCGAGGAGAATGTGTGACCAGCCCCACCAGAGATAAGCAAAGTGCTGCGGCAATTCCCAGGTGTGGGCCATCAGTGCCACCTGGGACGTTAAAGCGGCATTCCAGGAGGGGGCCCACCCTCTGCTCCTTTCAAAACAAGCTTCCCATCATCTTAGCTGTCATTTCTCAGGTGAGCCGAGCCAAGTGGCTCCTTAAGACTCTCTAATCCACTTACCTCCAAAGTGAACTCTCAGTCACGCTCCCCAGGTTGAAATCATACAGCTTTGTCAGGATGAGTATAACCTGCAAGGGGGGGTGAGGAGGAGGAGGGAAGAGGAGAGGAATAAAAGGGGGAGAAAAAGAAAGCTTACTTTAGTTTGCGCAACAATATTTAGTGCATCTCAAATCAACCAGAGGAAGGCTTAGTGGTTATCATAGGATCAAGCAAGGGGAAAACATTAATTTAATGCATCCCCATAACTGGTAGCATTTATTTTAACCCTGAAGGTGCTTTGCATTTAAAATAAAAACATGCCCACAGGAATTAACTGGGAATTGACAGTTGTTTCTCCATATTTGTCTTCCTTCAAGGTCAGACACTGGTTGGCTGGCTCTGCTCACGAGCATGGCCCCCTGAAGATCTGAGAGTGGGTTTGCTGCTGACCTGCAGATAACCCTGACTTGCAGACTTGTGCTAAAAGGGTAAGAAGGAACTGGGCCTCATTCTGTCCACAGAAGAGTTCAAAGAGATTGTGTGTTTCCATCATTAGGGCCACAAATACTTGAATGGCAGGCAAGTCCAGTCCCCAAGATTCTCTGATGCCATCTGTCACCTACCACGCAGCATCGGTCCCCACCATGGAATAAACAGGTCATTGGACTCCACTGGACTCTAGGGCCACTTTCCTAACTCCAGTTGAAATTACAATACCCAGAAGAAAGTTGTACCTGCCAGGGAGCTTGAGCTGCCTATTAGCACTTTGCTAGAATGGTCTTGGGCTGGTCAGTCTGGTTCTATGCCCTTTAAACTTCTCCAGCTGGGGACTTGGAAATAAGACATTTCCTACTCTACTCCTCATGAACTTGGACAATCGCTTAGGAACAACTCCATACCTACAAGGATGCTAAGTGCATGCACCTGAATCGATTTTAATCAAAACGCAGGTGCCTTACACACAGCGTCTGCCTGCATGTGTGATAATCCAGTTACACATAATTGTGTTTATCTAAATTTAAAGCACAACTCATTTCACTTTTCTCAGCTCCTTCCCATTCCACAATTTAACTTCCTCCAGTTCATTTGCACAGCAGCCATTAAACTCTTTCCGAGATAATGAATTTCTGCTACCAAGTTGGGGCTTTCCCATTCTAGGTATCCATTTAAGAGTAAAGAAAAATAATCAGCTATTATATTGAACATTTTTATGGCATTTAACTGGTGGCAAAACACTCACTTTGATATTTATTTTCATCCAGCACCCCAAGGGGTCGGTAAGCTCTATTTCCATTTATTTTGTGTAAACTAAGAAAAAATTAGAGGCAAGGGTGTGACCCATTGTAGGTCCAAGAGAGTCCATGGCAAAGTTGGTTTGGAACATTCAACTTTTCTGCAGGGCCATTACCAGAGGGCACATCGGCCTCCCCTCCAACTGAGTCCTGTGCTGAGGAGTGGTGGATTGGCAAGAAACAGCCACGGTGAGACAGACACCGATGGCACAGCTCTTTGTAGAATAATAGAGTCCACTAAGCTACCTGTCCTAGTAGAATAGTGCAACAGCAAGGAGGTGAATCCCATGCAAAGAACTGTTCCCCACAGTCACTCAGGGGGTCTTGCCTCTCCTTGTCATGATGAGTTTACTCATTCATTAAATTCAGAGGCTACTGAAGGGAGAGGACTTATCCACACTCTTCTCGACCAGATGCCTAGCAACGTGCCAGATAGTTCCCCTTTTGTTGAATTAATGCACATGCACATACACATACATACGACAGACTTCTTCCCTTTATTTTACCTTATTTTTTCTACAAACTCACTCTCACCATCAGTGTGTAAAAGTGTGGTGGCTATGTGAAAGTCATCTCAAAAGCTGGACAAACTCAAAACCGTGTTCTTCTAGGAGTGGCTCTAAACACCTGTCTCGAGCACTACAGGAGCAAGTCAGAACACTACAATTTCTCCCAACATCAAGCCTGCAAGGACCTGCAACAATCTCCAAAAAGTGCGAAGTCCACAGAGAGAGAAGAAAGATGTTGGAGGTAAGATTTCCACTTAATTATTAGAGTTTCTAACAAATAACTGGATCTGGGACACCCTTCCACAAACCCAGAGCCATTCTCATTCTATCAGCCTCCTTACCAATGCTTGGACCCAATGCATAACCAGATCTTTATGGTGCCCCATAGTAAATACAATGATAAAAGCAAATCCAGGGAATGCTGGGACCCACAAACTCTCCTTTCCTTCCCTCCCTCCATCCTGTCTGTCCCTAATGCATTTCTGTGTCTAACCTCCTCTTGGTGTCTGCTTGTTGGAGAACCCAGGCAAACACACCCTTCCAAACCTCTATGGATATTATTTCTGCCTTCGCGGTAGACAGCTTCAATTCTGCCTTTGAATTCATGCACTTTCTTGATTAGGAGGCTTCACTGGCTCTCCCACCCAATGATGCACCCCAGATGCCTTCACCTGGTATGTAAGACACTTCACAGTCTGGCCCACACTTGCTCTTCCATCCACTTTCCTGCAAGTCTCAAGAAACCGTCCTCTGCTTTAGCAATCCGAGTCTCCCAAGGTGCTGCAAGTCAGTCAAACCCATTCTCACAAGGCTGCTTCCTCTCTGGCATGCTCTACCATCGTATCATCCCTTGTGTCCAGTCCTCTTATTACCACCTTCCTAGCCTGACTATTGTGTGAAAAAATAGCTCAAAATCTTCCTTCTTCAGGCAACCTTCCAAGACTATCCCAGCCATCCAAGTTCTCTCTTCTGAAGAGAAAGAGAACATAATTAGCTACTTAAAGCACTATATTAACAGCTTCTAGATAGCACATCACTTACCTTCTCAACTAGATTTTTAACAATTTGAGGTGGGGTTCACGTTTTGTACTTCTGCCTCCCGAGCAGGCAGGCTCAGCCTGTCAAATGTTCCTATAGTCATTTTTGAGTCAATGATGGTGATTTGGTAAACATTAGTTAACACCAAAAGATTATGGTGTTTTGGCAATAAATCATAGTCTTTAGAATGGGATGGCATTAATTTAGTCTACTACCCTCATTTTACAGATTAGGAAACTGAGGCACAGAGAGAGGCAGTGACTCAAGTCCCAGTGATGTGGGACCTTGACCAAGCTCCTCAGGGCATTGTTCTTCCCATTCCATGAGTCGCTGCAGAGCAGTGAGACAGATTCTCTGGCCCCACTCCTAGCAGGGTTAACTTCATGTTTTGGGTAGTGTCTGGAAATCTCCCCGTGGCAACTGGGGGACCCTCTTTAGAGAAACATTCCATCACATCATGATTCCTTTCCCAGCTCTGTGCCACAACCCACCCCCCACCCTTCCACCTTTCTGCGATCCTGACCTAGAAAAGCACCTCTGCTTTTGCATTGAGTTTAACCTAACAAAGAAAGCCTAGAGTAGGAGATGTGTGAGGAAGATGTCTCAGCAAAATCACTACAGCATTGCCCCCGAGGAAAACTCACAACACTGAGAAGTGGGGTCTGGAAGCTTCCTTTCCCCTGGGGCCCCCGCTGCAGGACATAATAAAGCTACGAAGAGTTGCTAATGTAATCTTTTGCCTTAAGACATTCTGTGTCATGCAAACAAAACCAAAAGCAAAAGAAAGCTTGCCCACTCCTGGCTTCTCTCACCACTCAGGAGAGAATTACCAGGGAGGAAAACTAGAAATAAATCCACCTACCCAGCCCCAGGCTGCTGGGAAAGCACTCAGAATGGATGGGAATAGGCAAGGGTGCCTCTGGAGCCACGAGGGGCTTGCAGGAAGGGTGAGGATTCCCTACTAAAGCTCAGCTAGACTCTCTGCAGCAGAGGTCCCCAGATGAGAGGGAACACTTAAATTCAAAGGAAAAAAAAGCAGGAAGAAAACATTAATTGAACCCCTACTGTATGCTGACTACTACACTGGATGCATCTCAATCCTCACAACAAATTTTTGAGACTGAGCAGATATTATATAATACCCCCATTTTACAGATGAGGAAACTGAGTCCTGACAGCTAAGCAAATTACCCCAAAGGGGCCAACCAGCAAGAAATAGAGCCAGCATTCACACCCAGGGCTATATGACTCAACCACGCCTGCTGCACTCTAATGCAATGCTTCTCCATTTAGCAAATGTTTATGTGGGCTTTTTGTGTGCCATGTAATTAATGAGCAGAAATAGAAAAAAATATACCCTTGCCCTCAAGTAGTTTACCGCTCATTCATAGATTCCTCAAATGGATACTGAGCACCTCATGTGAATTAGAAAGTCACCTGCTGAACTCCAGCAATCAGGGAGGGACCCAGAGCTCAAAGCCCAGGTGGAAAAGATAACTTTTGATTTCTTTGTTCTTGGAGGAAAAACAAAAAGAGGAAACAGGTGTGTAATAAGTAAAGCACTAAAAAGATTGTTGGGAGACCCAAGTTTGTCAAATGAACTTTGTCAAATAAGTAACTTTTTGACCTAACTGGCTGCAATCCTGGAGAGATGTTAAACAGTATGAGAAATAAAAATGTTAGAATAATTAATGAGTAAATAGCACTTTCCTGTTAATGTAAGCTGTGCACATACAGACACACACACATAGAGTAGTGGAGCAGTCCCTAGCTATACATGTGAGTATATATGTGACTATAGCTAGAAAACCTAGCATATATTTATGAGAATATATATATATACACACATATAAACATACACATATAACCTTAAATTGCCATTTGACATCTTCTCTGAAATAACAAATCTCTGTTCATACATCTCTTACAGCCTTCAACACATTGGGTTAAAGAGACTTATCCATATGTCTGCCTTGTCTGTCAGATTGGGACCTCTTCGAGGTTAGAAACTGGGTTTCTGCGCCCCTAATACCTCGCACAATGCCTGACACATGACAGGTACTACACGGTGTCTCCTGAATGAATTATAAATGTATGACAATAAAAGGAGGGGTAAGATGATAAATGTATGAGGGAGGTACAGATAATGTGCTATAAGAATTGAGAAGAGGAAGTAATTAAGTCCAGAAAATGTAATCAGTGAAGTCTTCATGAAGGAGAGATTATATGATCTGGGACTTAAAGCATGGT